GTATATGGAGCAAGTAACAAGATCACTAGATGTTGTAACAGCTAGACTAAGGTTAGGATATAAGTACCTCTGGCAGTATGTTCCTCAGGCAGATGTGAACAATAAATGTAAAGTGTGTGGCCAGACATATGGCCACACACTCTGGCAGTATGTTCCTCAATCAGATGTGAACAATAAATGTAAAGTGTGTGGCCAGACATATGGCCACACACTGGCAGTATGTTCCTCAGGCAGATGTGAACAAGACTAAATGTAAAGTGTGTCACACACTCTGGCAGTACCTCAGGCAGATGTGAACAAGACTAAATGTAAAGTGTGTGGCCAGACATATGGCCACACACTCTGGCAGTATGTTCCTCAGGCAGATGTGAACAAGACTAAATGTAAAGTGTGTGGCCAGACATATGGCCACACACTCTGGCAGTATGTTCCTCAGGCAGATGTGAACAAGACTAAATGTAAAGTGTGTGGCCAGACATATGGCCACACACACTCTGGCAGTATGTTCCTCAGGCAGATGTGAACAAGACTAAATGTAAAGTGTGTGGCCAGACATATGGCCACACACTCCAACACTATGTCTTAGACTGTGAGAAAATAGAACCTTTTAGGGACAGGTCCAAGCACACTGTGTGTACAATGACACAGCACTTTATCTGTGGTGGCAAGATAGCTGATATATTAAGACTGTATCCACTTTTTTGCACTTAGTAGCCATATCAGTTCCCATGTATAGAACCACACACACAATGTGCTTGAATACCTCTCACGCAAATGTGAATAACAAAGTGTGTGGCCAGACATCCTGCCTCACACTCCTGAGGCCAGACATGCTGCCTCACACTCCTGCGGCCAGACATACTGCCTCACACTCCTGAGGCAGACATGCTGCCTCACACTCCTCTTGTTGGGTTGCCTGCCTCCACACTCCTGGGCTTGAACATGCTGCCTCTCCATAGGGGCCCAGAACATACTTGCCTCACACTCCTCTTGGCCAGGCCGCTGCCTCCACCTCCTGCTGACCAGACATACTGCCTCCACACTCCTCTGACCCAGACATATACTGCCTCACACTCCTCGCGGCCAGACATACTGCCTCACACTCCTGTACTCACACAGTTGTGAATAAGTTACCCTTTATGTATAGAACTAAACAAATAATGTAATTGAAATACTGTGTAACATTCAGTGCCATAATATCCTGACCACGGGGGTTAATTATTATGACCCTTTGTAAACTCTACTCTGTAATCCTTTTGTGCTACCGCTCACAGGATGAGTGTGGGGTGCACAATAAACTAGCCACTGTATATTTAAATTAAAGATGTAATTTCAAAGTTTATGTAATTTAATATGAAATTTTCCAAGTGAAAACATAACCTGATGGTTGGGTTAGGTTGAGAATCAGGCTTTCCATTCAAATTCCAAACTAACCTAATGCGAGGGGGTGCACAATAAACTAGCCTCCTCACGGGATAAATTGAAATTGGCAAAAAGTCTACGTAACCATATCTTCTGCTATGAAGATAAGGAGACAATCTTTTTAAAGCCTCATAAACCGATGGATTTAATCATTTCTAAGACTTACAAACCCAGACTTACCTGATGACTTAAAACAATAATGAATGTGATAACTTGGACGTACCTGAGCTATGGCGTTTTAATGACCCCTTGAAGAGTTGTTTTACCTTAGCACTTACCTGGAAAAATGGAAAAAGAAAAGGAAAAATCCAGTTGAAATTACCTGCCGTCTTTCCCACACACACATCATTATTCACACTAAACTAACAGAAACAACTAAGACCGTTTATGCCAAATGGATGACTCAGAGAACTTGTCCAATATATCAACAACACAACAGTAGCAACAGTTTACCTTCTGTTGGTGGTCGTGGAAGCCCTGGTGCCATATTGGGTCATCTCCTGGCACTGTCTTGAAACCTCACACTGGGACATAATGTAGCTCTGATACTGGGACATAATGGTAGGTGACACAGAGCCATGGTAGGTGAGTCAGAGCCATGGTAGGTGAGTCAGAGCCATGGTAGGTGAGTCAGAGCCATGGTAGGTGACACAGAGCCATGGTAGGTGACACAGAGCTATGGTGGGTGAGTCAGAGCCATGGTAGGTGACACAGAGCCATGGTAGGTGAGTCAGAGCCATGGTAGGTGACACAGAATAGTAGGTGACACAGAGCCATGGTGGGTGAGTCAGAGCCATGGTAGGTGAGTCAGAGCCATGGTAGGTGACACAGAGCCATGGTAGGTGACACTGAGCCATGGTAGGTGACTGTGAGCCATGGTAGGTGAGTCAGAGCCATGGTAAGTGACAGAGCCATGGTAGGCGACACTTAAAACATTCAACAAAGTGTACAGGTGTTCCTCTACATAAGAACGTTCAACAAAGTGTACAGGTGTTCCTCTACTTAGAGCGTTCAACAAGGTGTACAGGTGGTCCTCTACATCGTTCAACAAAGTGTACAGGTGTTAGAACGTTCAACAAAGTGTACAGGTTCTCCTCTACATAGAACGTTCAACAAGACATTTGTTCCTCTACCGTTCAACTAGGTTTCCTCTACATAAGAACGTTCAACAAGGTGTACAGGTGGTCCTCTACATAAGAACGTTCAACAAAGTGTACAGGTTCTCCTCTACATAAGAACGTTCAACAAAGTGTACAGGTTCTCCTCTACTTAAGAACGTTCAACAAAGTGTACAGGTTCTCCTCTACTTAAGAACGTTCAACAAAGTGTACAGGTTCTCCTCTACTTAAGAACGTTCAACAAAGTGTACAGGTTCTCCTCTACATAAGAACGTTCAACAAAGTGTACAAGTTCTCCTCTACTTAAGAACGTTCAACTTACAAACTTTCACAGATACAAACATCATCACTGAGGGGGTTACCTGCCAGAACAGGTGTTTAATGTGAATGAGACTGGATTATTTTGAAGATAATTCCAGATAGAACAAATATTACCTAGAAGAGTGAGCCAGGTTTTAAGGCTGTATTAAAGGCTACAGCTCTACTAAATATCCACAATCTTTTCATTTTTTTACAATATGTTTGGTATCTACAGGAGTAAAGTTGGACATAAGTACCAGAATTATCAGGTACTAGGTCTCGACACTGACTGCATGTGTTACCTGTAAGTACTAGTCAACCAAGATGTTTCCTAGTGTTACCGGAGTCATATTAATGTGCATTTTTCTTGAGTTGTTTTTAAAAGGTTCTTTGAAATATACCTAAAAAGTATGTTTTTTTATTATAATTAATCAGTGGTTGAATATAAACATTTCTTCAACCTGATTTCAAAGTCAATTGAAGTTTTTTGACAAATTAAGAAGCAAAACTTTAGATGTTTACAATATAAAAGGCATTAGTACAGTACTCTCAATTCATGCAGGTAACAGTACTCAAGCAACAGTACTCTAAGTTAACAATATTTTAGTACATAAAATAAATGACTAATGGTTTTCAATTTACACTATATACATTGTCTTTAGCTGGGGCCATTGTGTACATACTAGGGCCATTGTGTATGTACTAGGGCCATTGTGCACATACTAGGGCTATTGTGTAAATACTAGGGCCATTGTGTACGTACTAGGGCCATTGTGTACGTACTAGGGCCACTGTGTACGTACTAGGGCCATTGTGTACGTACTGGGGCCACTGTGTAGGTACTGGGGCCATTGTGTACATATGTCACTCGCCTTCACAGTGGGGAAAGATAAATGAATTTCACATTTAACTAATAATAAGTCATTTCAGTTTCCATTAATATATTGCGTGTATTTTTCACCTCAATATTACGATTTTAAACTCTACATCATAGAGCCGCCACTTTTAATACTTCTCTAATGGCCAATATTAAATCCTGGACCCCCATACACTAGTGATTAAGTCAGAGATTTTTGTCCATAGTTATAATTCTTCATGTTATTTAAGAACTGTGTAATCCTTGCAAGGTTTACGATCAATTTGAGCAGTGATTGACCCTCGCAGGATGTACAGTCAGCCAAAGAGCCATCGACCATCACCCTGGTTCTTGTAGTCTCAAGTTTTATCTGGTAATACTTGGTGAAGGGAAGATGTACGTAAAGGTGATTGTGATTGGTGGATCTACTTGGTGAAGGGAAGATGTACGTAAAGGTGATTGTGATTGGTGGATCTACTTGGTGAAGGGAAGATGTACGTAAAGGTGATTGTGATTGGTGGATCTACTTGGTGAAGGGAAGATGTACGTAAAGGTGATTGTGATTGGTGGATCTACTTGGTGAAGGGAAGCTGTACGTAAAGGTGATTGTGATTGGTGGATCTACTTGATGAAGGGAAGCTGTATGTATAGGTGATTGGTGGATCTATTTCTGGCTGTATTACTGTCAGGGTAAATATTAAGTAATCTTAAGGTAGATTTTTGATAATAATAAACTCTTCATTATTATTTAAGATCATGACAAGTTTATAAATGATATAATTACTTAAATAACAAAGATAATTATAATAAGTAATTACCAACTTAACCACATGTACCACAAAATTACCACAACACATTTCAATAATACCTAAACCATAATTTTGAGTGTTTTATGAAAGATTTAATTCTCTTTACAATATGACCATTACAATACAGTAAAAGTCCAAAAATCCAGATGCCAGAAATCCGGACCACCAGAGAACCCGGACTTTTCGAAAACTCAAACTTTTTTATTTATTTATTTATTTTTTATTTATTCTTTATTTTTAATTTAGCTGGCTTTTGTGTGTATGTGTGCATGCGTGAGCGCCACAGCGACAACAAGCGACCACGTGGTCGCCACTTTAAAACGAGCAATCAAACTGTGACGACGTAGGTAATTTTGAGTCCTACTCTTTCCATTTACAGAGTACTGTACTGTACAAGCCCATAATAATGGCTCCTAAAGTAGATAAACTTGGTTGTGTGTAGAGAAAGAAGAACACGTTGAAATTGAGTGACAAACTTGAAATAATTAAGACACTAGAACGTGGTGTGAGCAATACTGTTCTAATGGAAACATACAACATTGGAAAGTCTACAATTTATAATATAAAAAAGGCAAAGAATAAAATTCTAGAATTCACAGCTTTTTCCTTAAAACTGCTCCTTTTGATAAATGAATCATGCTATATTACTAGTGAATAAACTATCAAAATGTACCTGTTCATCTCTTCTTTATTCCTCCTGAAATTATAATTTTTCAAGGTACTGCCTGAGAATCCGGACCGACCCAATCCCCAAGGAGTCCGGATTTTTGGACTTGCACTGTACTGTATATATGTTACACTGAAGTTATATTTACTTACATTTAATTGTTAACTGAATTGCATTACTCCTGATTTAATTAATAGTCTTATGCGAGTTTTTGTCCGGTCAAGCATCCTACCAGCTACAGTTAAATGTCAAATTACCTGCCATCGTTACTTCCTGAACGACCCTGACCAGACACACAGCCTTCAGTATAAACCAGCGATCATGGGGAGGCTCACCAACTAAGGTCAACCATTAATTACTGACCCCCATCCACATCACCAAATCATAAGTATCATTACAGTTCCTCCCCGACTTACGACGGGGTTAGGGACCCAAATCCAGGTCTTAAGTCAAAAATGCTTAAATAATACATAGAAAATCTAAAATGGGTGTCTCTTTTTCTTCTCAGCACCACAAAACTCTCACTTTTAAGTTCGCCAGCCATTTTAAAGTGAATTACAAACGAAAAGTTTGTCTGTGTACTGACGTTGGGACTCGAAAAAACGTAATTTGACCAAATTTTGGTATGACTGAGGCGGGTCGTAAGTCGAGTAGGTCGTAAGTCGGGGAGAAGTCATCCTGTAAGATGTCTTAACTATATATTTTGTACACAGTTTGACCTAATGAAGTACAGTAAAACCTCCATTAACCGACCACATATGGGGGGAGGGGCCGACGGGTAATCGAAAAGGTCGGTTAATAGTACATAAAGTCTACGGAAATAAAACAAATTTTCATAAAGTACCTTTCCCTAACCTACCTCATTTAAGTCCCTCTATTCATTATTGTTCATTTGCCATTCATATTTCAATAGAATTTGCTTTAAAACATTAACCACTTTAGTAAATAAATATGAACCAGCACAGAAACCGTGAATAAAAGATGAAAAAGTCAAAGGACATGTCATCACAAAAATTGTGACCAAGTCCCAGGTTGATGATCTGACTTTCTGCCTCATTTACACACAGGGTCTCAATTGTTTCTCTTACTATTGACAACACAACATACATATATTGTTTCTCACTTTTGATTTTTTTCATTTTGTATTTCTTTATGGTTCTTTATTATTATTATTATTATTATTATTATTATTATTATATTTTCGCCCCCTAGGCCCCGATGTGGGTCATTGATCTGTGCTTGGGTGGGCTAATCCTCGTAAAAAAAAAAAAATAGGGGTTCGGGATTGACGGTTAATCCGAAAGTCGGTTATTCGAGGTTTTACTCTAATATAAATTCGACATTGCCACTTAAGGTAATAACCCAATTCACGAGTTTATTAAAATTAGTTCTGATATCAACCAATTCAGGAACTATATCTATTTGAATCCTTGAAAGAAATATATTATGAACTTTAAATTAAACAATGACAATAATATCAGTTGTAATAATGACCAATAGAGAAATAAACAAATGAACTAAGATTCCGTAAATTAACTGGGTCGTCAACTTCATCTGAGTCCTTATCAACTCTATATAGATTTACTCTGTCTATCTGTCTGTCTGCCTGTCTCTCTGTCTGCCTGCCTGTCTCTCTCTCCTCCTCCCTATCTCTGTCTCTCTCTCCTCCTCCCTATCTCTATCTCTCTATAAGTCAGATAATAATAACACCATTAAATGCAGTTTAGTCGAAAACCAAAACACCCACTTCAGTGATACCCTCTCCACACAGCCACTGGTGCTGGGAGAACACTTGGTATTACTGCATCAGGTAGGACTAATACACAGTGTCTGGTTTGTAATTTAGGTCATATTGTAATGGTCATATTGTAAAGAGAATTAATTCCTTTATGAAACACTCGAAATTATGGTTTAGGTATTATTGAAATGTGTTATGGTAATTTTGTGGTAGATGTGGTTAGGTTGGTAATTACTTATTATAATTATCTTTGTTATTTAAGTAACTATATCATTTATAAACTTGTCATGAGCTTGAATAATAATGAAGAGTTTATTATTATAAAAAATTTACCTTAAGATTACTTAATATTTACCAAAAATAGATCCACCAATCACCTTTACATGGCTGACACCGATATGACAAACTCAATGCATTATTTATCTTCACTGTCTGATCTATGGTTAATTCTGATTATATTTAAGCACTGTGTAATCCTTGGGAGGTTTTTAATCCATATTAAAGTCTAAATATATAGAAATTTTACTCCCTGACTGAATTCTGATGTGTAAATCTTGTAATGGCTGTCATTGTGTAGAGGCAATTGAGAACTAAATCCAGAAGCTGTTTATAAAATTGGGGCTTGAATTGGTGTTGAAACCTAAGGCCCAAGTCTTCTGGGAGATCAACCAATCAGAGTAGAAGAGGGTATATGGGCGTGGCCAAGCTCAACCAATCAGAGTAGAAGAGGGTATGTGGGCATGGACAATCATTTCTTCTGATTCTTGACTGGCTGGCCAAATGTTTCTTCAACCAATCAGAGTAGAAGATGGTATGTGGGCGTGGCCAAACATTTAAACCCTCCCCAGACTGGCCAAACATCTCCCTTAACCCTCCCCAGACTGGCCAAACATCTCCCTTAACCCTCCCCTGACTGGCCAAACATCTCCCCTAACCCTCCCCAGACTGGCCAAACATCTCCCTTAACCCTCCCCTGACTGGCCAAACATCTCCCTTAACCCTCCCCAGACTGGCCAAACATCTCCCTTAACCCTCCCCTGACTGGCCAAACATCTCCCTTAACCCTCCCCAGACTGGCCAAACATCTCCCTTAACCCTCCCCAGACCGGCCAAAAACCACATGAAATCCTCAAGTAACAGACAAAGACATGGCCCCTCTCCCTTCCCCCCCCCTTGGCCTCCAGACTAACAACATCTCCTAGTAACATCTCCGTGAGGACTCCGGGTACCTCTCCTTCAGTTCCCCCTTAAACTGCCTGAAGAGTATGCGGTTCCTCTCCTGCTCGACGTCCTTGGTGGTGTGGAAGCCTGTGTTGGTTTTGAAGCCTCGATGGATGACGAAGGCAGAGTCCAGCACCAGGAACCTGTACCCGGCCACATGTAACTCACACACCTGGAAGGACAGTCATGTGTAAACCTCTTATGTTACCGGGTGTGTGGGGTCAGGTACAGACATCTTCACTATGGTATTTCAACGCACCTCGTCTATACTAACAGCTGATTGGTTCATAATTAAGTAACTATATGTGTTTACAATAGGTCAGTAGATCTGTTATTATATAATATAATGTTAAATATCTGGACTATCATAATGTTAATGATCTCAAGGCATTAATGATCTCAAGGCATTAATGAACTCAAGGCATTAATGATCTCAAGGCATTAATGACCTCAAGGCATTAATGATCTCAAGGCATTAGTACTTCAGAGAGGATGTTAGAAAATTTTAAATATTTATCATAAAAAACTCAAAGATGAATTTGTTTTAGATTGAAGTCTTTTCATTATGTCTTTGTTATGTACCAAACATAAAACAAACAGAAACAATAACAACAAACACATAACACAATAAGTAATGGACTCCTCACAAGCAAGTGGTCCCAGGTTTGATTCCCGGGCAGGGTGTAAGTATGGACAAGTTTTTTTTACGCCATTTGCCTCTGTCTACCCAGCAGTAATTGGGGACCTGGGTGATGGTAGATTTGTGGATCGTGTTCTGGGGTGATGGTTAGCCAGTGCAGTTGGTGAGTTGTCCGGTCTTCTCGGATTATTCCTTGACACTGGGTCGTGCAGCTTGTTAACTCAGGGTGTGGTTGTTGTGTTGGTGACAGCTTCTACACCTTAAACACTGGGTCGTGCAGCTCGTTAACTTTGGGTGTGGTTGTTGTGTTGGTGACAGCTTCTACACCTTAAACAATGGGTCATGCAGCTCGTTAACTTAGTGTGTGGTTGTTGTGTTGGTGACAGCTTCTACACCTTAAACACTGGGTCATGCAGCTCGTTAACTTAGGGTATGGTTGTTGTGTTGGTGACAGCTTCTACACCTTAAACAAATTCACGACCAGGTGGCCCTTGGGCCGGCCATCCTTGTTACACGAGGGGCAACCATTATTATTATGTGTTAGCTGTGAAACTTCTATCTAACAGACAATACACACACACTACACAACACAGACATAACCCAGACACACTACACAACCCAGACATAACACACAACCCACCTGACTAATTCTGTTAAAGCCATACTGCCTGAATCTCTCATCATATAGAGGAACTTTGGTACTGGCGATATAAAAAGGTTCCCACGGGTCTTGCCACAGGACCTCGTACAGGGGCTCAACCTTCCCTGCCTTCACCTCAGATTTCTTCTCCCACGCCGGGTAATCCGTGTAGCGCTGGAAATAAGGAGTCGTGTTAATCGTAAGTCGAGGGTATAAGCGTAGGGGTGAATTTCGTCATCTCGTCTTGTTTCTCGTGGAAAGTTGGGTTGGGTTAGGTTGGGTTGGGTTAGGTTGGGTTAGGTTGGTTGGGTTGGGTTGGGTTGGGTTGGGTTGGGTTGGGTTGGGTTTGGTTGGGTTCACTGACAGAAATTTCTAACTTGTCTGCAATATCTAAATTTTCAAGTGAGATCGGTCTTATTTTCTGCTCTAGTTTATAGTACTAACAAGATTTATATATTATCTTAACATAAATACTAACTTTATGTTGAGAAATAATCATATGTAATGTGTTAAAGTTTAGTGAAGTTAATTACAATATAAGGATGATATACACTAGGTATTTGAGGCAGGCTAGACCACTGTGGCCTGACTTGTGGTCCTGTGTGACACAAACTGAGGCTACAAAAGGCCCCTTGAGGCAGTCCTCCCATTGGTGGCCCTGGGTGCATGGGTTCGGCCACACTTGCTCCAAACAAGTGTCGGTGGTGTGAGAGGAGTCAGAGTCACTGCTACCACACGATTTAAAACTTGATCAGAACTCTTCGTCTCGTTTAACACACACTGTGAGCGGTGTTGTAGCTGCCTAATGTTGTGATTCATGTAATTAGTGTTACCAACATCTCCTGATCATAAACAATGTGTATGTTACATGAACTGTGGAGCTGTTCACATGTTTCATAACACTGTGGTATATTGTCCCAGACTGAGAGAGAATGACATAATGGAGCCTTAGCCCAAAGTGAAGCAGCAATACAAATACAGATTCAAAATTGGGTTACAAAATAATCTTATACGGTTACTATATCCAATAATTCTGCCCAATATATAAAGTATTCCTGTATGACAACTAATCTACTTGTATGGTTACTGTAGTTGACAGTGTGTGGAACATTTAGTATAACAAATAGTTTAACTTATACTGACATTATCCAGTTATAACAAAGTAATTAAATATTGTCAATAAATAGTTCATTACCAAATTAAGTATGAAATGTCTTGGGGCCTAACGACCCTCACCAGAGAATGGGATTGTTCGGTTGGAAAATCATCGGACCCGACCTGTACGGCAGTTGTTTTACCAAGTGCATAAGTCTGTAATGAACAGATATATGTCCTGTACACTCCTGCAGTATGATCATCACTACAAGAACACCTGGTATAATAACTCAGGTGTGTCTCATGATCATCACTACAAGAACACCTGGTATAATAACTCAGGTGTGTCTCAGGTTAATTGACCCACAAGATTAATAATAATTGTTGTTGTTTCTCGTTAAGTTACAGCTTGTTGTATCGTCCGAGTCTCGTTCATGGTGAAAACAACGAAAATAACACCATTTATTATACATGACCACATACCTGACACTTGACCACATACCTGACACTTAAAACACATGACCACATACCTGACACTTGAAACACTTGCCCACAAACCTGACACTTAAAACACATGACCACATACCTGACACTTGACCACATACCTGACACTTGAAACACATGACCACATACCTGACACTTGAAACACTTGACCACATACCTGACACTTAAAACACATGACCACATACCTGACACTTAAAACACAGCTCTTGGTAAAACGTCCGAGCTTCTCCGTTTTCTTTCATCATCAACAGATCCGTTTTGGTCTTCGGTACGGCCACATCCTCCTTTATCTCATACACCGGGACGACCCACACTGTCTTCTCCTCTCCAGAGTTCTCCCCAAACAAACCTTGTCTCCCCGCGTACGATACGAAGGCGTCGTGTAGACCCTCCCCGGGGATCATGTCAATATCCACGACCATCATCAGACGAGTGATTGTGGCTTTACGGGCGACATTTCTGAGTAAGTTGTTTGGATACTGGACGCCCTTGAAGTCGTAGTTAGGTTGACGTGCAGAGGAGAATATGCGATCGCAGGGGGTCGCGTCGGTGGTGGGGGTGAGGTGTGGCGACGTGGGGGAATTGAGGGGGAAGACTAGACTGAATGTGACGTTTGCCCTCACCTCTGGGTAGCATTTCCTCAGTAGGTGGAATGTCTGGACCACTGCTTGTACCTCGCCACTTAGGGCAAATACTGCTATGGAAATGGGGCCCTGAAATACATAAAGTGACTTAGTATACATTGGGCCCTGAAATAAATAACATGATATAGTATACATGGGGCCCTGAAATACACACCATAATATAGTATACATGAGGCCCTGAAATACACACCATGATACAGTATACATGAGGCCCTGAAATACATAACGTGTGTTTCAATTCTTCATCATTCGTTCCATTGCACAAAAACTTGGGTACCCTTCTGTGTGTTGATCATTGTTTTATAAGGGCTAAAAAAATCCTTTCATTCTACTCAAACCAGGCGGCAAATTCCTACATTTAAGAATATTTTGACTGCCTTATCGCAATGAATTTGTCCCGTTAGTTCGGACTCTTAAATTGCTAGATATCAATGTTGTTTTCAAGTATGACTCAACCATTACCAATATGTTAATCAAAAATAGCCTAAGTTTGAATGTAAATGGAAGTGTTTATTGTATTCCATGTAGCAAATGTAATGGTCATTATGTAGGACAGACAGGAAAAACACTGCAGCTCAGAATCAAACAACATAAGTACAATATCAGAACAGCATCTGAAAGCAGTGCCTTGTTCGTTCATGTTAGGAATAATAATCATCCCATTGCTTGGGAAAAAACCTTAAAAGTATTTAAATCATCAAGTGTCACAGAAAGACTTCTGGTTGAAGCTAGTTTGATTAAGGAATTAAAATCAATAAACCTTAGTGATGGTCACTTCAAAACTGATAATATGTTACATAAATTTATTTGTCAGTGGCCCAAGGTTAAAAATGCTTTGAAAACCTTTAATCTAGATGTATGATAGTTATTTTGTGGGTCCCTTATGTTTGACCTGACCTGACTAGTCACGTCACCCCCCTTCTCTTACCTCCTCTACGTGTGTGTTGGTGTGGGGATTAGTGGATGACATCATTATGACCTGACCTCATGTTTAATAAGGTCACCCTGTATATTTAAGCCTCTCTCTGTCCATGTAATCCAGTTGCCTCTGAAGATGTCTTGAATAAAGGTGCTCCGTTGTTTCCCTTTCCCCCCGTGTGATTTTATCAAGATTTATCTTATCCACGTTTTCATTGTGGATCTACATGAAATACTAATACCCTAACCTTTAAGTACATAACAAACACTTAAGAATACACTACTAATAACCTTTAAGTATATCCGAGCAACACAAGTGGTACACAGACCTGCCAGTGTGAGGCGAGAGGAGGGAGTCTCTGCAGCCTGGTGAAGGAGCACTGAGTCACTAGAGTCAGACCTTGTGTTGCCGCCTCCTGCTCCTCCCCCTGGCCGCCCTCTGTACCTCGCACCACCCCAGTAGACACCCGGAACTCCCCCGAGCCATCCAGTACACTCCAGTGGGCGATGCGGGTCAGTATAGCTTGATGGTCGTCTGAAAGCTGTAACACTGAGGCTATAATATTCTCTGACACACAACACACAGTATACAGTGGTCAGTATAGCTTGATGGTTGTGTGAAAGCTATAACACTGAGGCTATAATATTCTCTGACACACAACACACAGTATACAAACAGTGGAAAGTCTACGATAACGACGGTTCAACTAACGATGATTCATATCTAAGACCCTAGTTCATTTAGGACCCAATTCACGCATCTGAACAGTAAAAGGAGAAAAAACTTCCTCAGGTTCCTTACATCATATTTGCCTCCCTATTCAACCTGAGCAAGAGAGCAAGTGATGGTAGTGCTGGTCCAATAGCTGATAGAAAGTGTATAAGGTTAGTCGAGAAACTTGATGTGTTAAAATGATATGAAAAAAGTGAGAGATCTGTGGATATTATATGGAGTTCGGTGACGGTGGAATCAACAGTGAAAACTATCTGTAAGAATGAAGAAAAAATTAAGGAAAGTGTTCAGTTGATGAAGAGAATGTTGAGGAGGATATTACAGAGAAGACCTGACTAATACCAACTACTGAAGGAGAACAACACCATCACCTCACATATTTACCACAACATTGTCTGTGTTCTACATTAATAAACAGTAATAAGTGTTACCTTCGTGTTCCTCAGTAGATAAACTATGTTATGTTCCACTGTGTGTACGTACATATGGCGGACCTGTGCACCCCATCCCACTATTTGTGTCTACCATCAGCAGTGACTTTGTACTGTACATTATATAACATTAATTAAAACATACATACAGTACAACCTCCATAAGCTTATATCAACTGTTTAAAGAATATTAGTTGTTGTTATTATTTCAACAACTACTAAGGTCTTTAAGTGTGGTTATTAAAAGATTATTACATCAACAATAAAAAGTATATGAAACACAACTCTCTGGGCTGAATAAAATAAATTGATTTTAATTAAGTGATTTTAATTGATTATAATCAGAGAAAAAATCGTGGATTATAAAAAAAATTATTTATATCTTAAATAAAATAAGGTACATTTTTTTAAATACAGTATACAATATATTTGCCAGTAATTTGTGTTATTGTTCATCAGTAGTTATCATCCAAATATACAGTATAGAGTAATAAAGACACAACACATACTGTAGGAGTAGTTCAGGAGTTGTTGCTACCTACTGAGACATGACTGTACTGGAACACACCCATATAGTGTTGAGGAGATGTGTGGTGTTGGTTCATCACCACATAGTGTATAGTGTGATGGTGTGGTGTTGGTTCATCACCACATAGTGTATAGTGTGATGGTGTGGTGTTGGTTCATCACCACATAGTGTATAGTGTGATGGTGTGGTGTTGGTTCATCACCACATAGTGTATAGTGTGATGGTGTGGTGTTGGTTCATCACCACATAGTGTATAAGGTTTGTTTCAACTTGTGGACTTTAAATAATTAGAAAGTGTCTTGGTCAGGGGTGTCAAACTCATGGCCCTTGGGATGGTCAGGTGTGGCCCTTGGGATGGTCAGGTGTGGCCCGCGGGATGGTCAGGTGTGGCCCTTTGGGATGGTCAGTGTGGGGGATGGTCAGGTGTGGCCCTGGGATGGTCAGGTGTGGCCCACGGATGGTCAGGCCCTTGGGATGGTCAGGTGTGGCCCTTGGGATGGTCAGGTGTGGCCCGCGGGATGGTCAGGTGTGGCCCACGGGATGGTCAGGTGTGGCCCTTGGGATGGTCAGGTGTGGCCCGCGGTGACATTTATCAGCCCGTTAAATTATGATAGAAATAAATATGAAGGAAAAAATGCTGATATGAATGAGTCAGTAAATTCTGATGGATTTTTACAACATTGTGGCAATAAATTAATTTATATTGTTAATGCTAGTAATAACACTACTGTAGGAAAATGATTATAAATGATACATATACAATTCCTCCCCGACTTACGACGGGGTTAAGGAACGACATCTAGATGGTAAGTCGAAAATGCTTAAATAATACATAGAAAATCTAAAATGGTTGTCTCTTTTGCTTCTCAGCTCCACAAAACTCTCACTTTTAAGCTTGCCAGCCATTTTAAAGTGAATTACAAACGAAAATTTTCTCTGTGTAATGACGTCGGGACTCGAAAATACGTAATTTGACAAAATTTTGGTACGACCGAGGAGGGTCGTAAGTGCGGGTGGTCGTAAGTCGGGGAGGAGCTGTATATGCCTTTTGCTCTCTCATTATTAGTGTTAATCATGTTTATTAAGTGAATTTTACATACTTAAGACCAGACAAACCCAAGTGAGGTATTCCTTGTAGGCCGGGTAAGGCAATGTGTGAAGCAGTAAACCTCAGTCCTGTAAATATGTGATATAACACTTGTGTTGGCCGTGATGAGGGTAACTATAGTAAGAATTGGCCCTTGAAAGGTTTAGAGTCTGACACCACTGGTCTGGGTAATGAGAAAACATCAATGTAATCTTTTTAACCTTCTCATATATACTGTTTGAACTATACTCTAATATGTATTAATTATTTTATTTAAAGGCATTTATTCCCTAGTTATGTAAATCGTATGTTTTATTTTTAAATTATGTTCGTACAGTTGTAACTAAGATATAGTCAATGTTTCTTTAATAATATTGTTTAATGTAGGTTCCTGGATCTCTGACAACAATGTTTATTATTTTCAAAAAGGTCAAGTTGCTTTTATTTTAGGTAAATTCTTTTCAGTAACATTATAGTTAAAATATATATGATTCAATTTCATTATTATAAACAAATTCAATATTTGAGAGAATTTATATCTACAGTAAAACACTAAGATAATGGCTTCAAATATACTACATAAAAAAAGGTCTCAATTATTGTATACAAGAATGAAATGTGAATAATTGGGTCAAAAATAAAACAAATACAGCTCCTCCTCCCCGACTTACGACAGGGACCCAAATCCAGGTCGTTAGACGGGGAGTAGCTGTACCAATTACTACAGTAGATCCTCCCGTCGGCGGGTTGGTGATCCGCGATTTCAACGATTTGCAGTAAACAGGCAGTGGTTATGGTGGCTGGCTTGTGAGCCTTCTCCCGGAACACAGCGAGTCGCCCACCGCAGCGTCTGGTGTTGTACTCTCAAAAGTTTAATGTGTCTGTGTGAAATGGTCCCTAAAAGACTGCCTAGTGTCGGTGCTGGTGGAGTGAATAGTAAGAGGTAGAAGTTAGTTTTATTATTAGATAAGTTAACAGAGGGACGAGTGTTGCCACGGCTGGTCAGTTGTTTGGTATACAGTAGTGCACTAAGGTTGTATAAGTTGCTGTTCGTGGTTTTGCCTATTAGAGCCATTCCTTTGAAGCTAACCTAACCCCTGGGAATAACAATGGTTTACTGTATTATACAAATCTGATTTAACTAAAAAAAATATATATTATTTTTATTTATATGGAAAAAAGAGAGTATTTTTGTCCAACTCTCTGGGCTGAGAATCATACAGGTAAGTCTGGTTGTGACCGAGATGATTGTTATTTAAAGTGTGTTATATGTACCGGTTACAACACAATTTGTTTTATTAATAAACTGTACAGTACTATAAAGATATAAACAAATATAACAGTATATTGTATGTGGCAGACAAAGGTTTATTTTTTAGTTTTTTATTTTATTTTGTAGAGAAAGGAAAGGTGAAAGAAGATAAGAGGTGGGGAAGGAAGTTATAGTTCAGAGGAGGTAAGAGAGGGCGGCTGACTAAGGTAATAGTGTGTTAGGGTTGTGTCATGGGTTAGTTATTGTCTGTCGGTACAGGCACTAGACATCCTACCCTGTGCCATATATGCCTTATTTCATATTCCGCCGACCCTACTGGTGGATGCTGGTCTAGGGAGGTTGTCTATTGCCTGGCCATGTTGATCGGGGGTGGTAATGGACCTTTTGGTAACTTTTTGGGAACCATGTATGGTTGTTGTCATTGTCTGGTGGGAGTCTTTGAAGGAGTTCTTGCTCTGATCGTTCTATCTTTTGCCAGACTCTGCTGGCCAGGGTGTGCAGCTGCTGGTTGATGGGTTTTATTCTCAGGTCTCAATGTATCTCGGCTGTGGTTCTGGTGAAGGTATATCTTTCACCTGTGACAAATCTTAGGGCTTCATTTTGGACCACCTGTAAATTTAACATTTGAGTGGTGCTCACAAGAGGTACTGCTGGGTAAGTTAATAAATGATGTCACCAGGTGGAGTTTTATTTTCTCAGGAAGTGCATTAAAGCAGTATAGTTTTCTCAGCTCTCTTCTTGCCTTTTCCTTCCTGGTGTGGACATGATGGGAGTAACCTGTCGTGGATATATGCAGGCCCAGGAGGGTGCCTCTGAATTTGTATTTTATCTGGGCATTATTGGTTACTAATGGATGGGTTTTCCTTCTGCATAAGGGTATCACTGTGAATTTCGGGAGACTGGTTTAGATTTTCCATTGTTTTTCGTAATTATTTACCCCTTCTAATTCCCGCCTGATGTTGTCGACCTGTAACGCTCACGATTTTCCTTGATGTGTTGTTATTTGAGTGATGTCGTCTGCATACATATTATCTTCATTGCCTATTCTAGTGTAGATAATATATAGGGTGGGGGAGAGGACGCTGCCCTGAGGGACTCCGCTCATGAGTGGGAAGGTCTCTCCTGTGTGTTGTCCTTCCCTCAGTCTGGCATTTCTGCTTTTCAATGTTGGAGGATCTTTTATCTTAGACCGTCGTGCCAGACTTTGTCAAATGCCTTCGCTACATCCCGGAGAGTTAGATTACACTGTCTACCACTCGCCGTGGCTCTGGCTATGTTTTCACATGCCAGGGCTATCACTGTTGTGGTGGACTTCCCTTTCCTGAACCCGAATTCTCTGCAATTGACTCTGTTGGTTGTTTCTCATATGGTTATTGATGAATTTTTCTAGCATTTTTCCAGGTACTTCAAGGAGGGAGATCGGTCTGTAGTTTAGTGGGACGGAGGGGTAATGGTGGCCTCTGGGAGCAGCTGGCAGAGGGGAAGGGGATGGTACCATGGCTTCCTCCTCCAAGCCAACGCATCTCAGTAAACAACCTTGTATACAGCTGATCCTTGTATTTTCAAGTCATTACACCTTACATAATGTTGTATTTTTCTCTGTTACTGTAGATGTTATATTAATGAACCATAAGAGACCAATCATATGAGAATATAATAATGAATCAATAAATGAATGTGGCAACACCAGATCAGTCCTAATCTGTTTACAGTGTCTCAGTTCTCAGTAGGCCTATAGCAACTATCATTACACCACTGTACAATATTCAGTAAGTGTTGTTCATTTAATAGTGTTTTTTTGATTAATCTTCCCATTTTTTGATTAATCTTTACCCATATTTTATATTTTTTTAAGTATTTCAAGTGACCAGAACGTCTCAGAGTCCGAAAAAAGCTACAACCAGGGTCTTATTTTCTTCATCTTCAGGAGGATAACCAACATCACGGCTGTAAACACTGACATCAACAATGGCGTCCCATCTCCTCTTGTGTGGCCATATTATTATTCATTTATATTGTCTAAGGTCCATTGATAAACATTATTTAAAGAATATAGTTTGTATTGTTCACTAATTGTACAGCTCCTCCCCGACTTACGACGGGGTTAGGGACCGACATCCAGGTAGTAAGTCGTAAATGCTTAAATAATACATAGAAAATCTAAAATGGTTGTCTCTTTTTTTTCTCAGCTCCACAAAACTCTCACTTTTAAACTTGTCAGATATTTTAAAATGAACTACAGATGAAAATTTTGTTTGTGTACTGACGTTGGGACTCGAAAATATATAATTTGACCGCATTTTTGTATTACTGAGGCGGTCGTAAGTGCGGGTGGACGTAAGTCGAGTCGGTCGTAAGTTGGGGAGTACCTGTATTGTTTTAGGGGTAAAAGATGGTCAAAAGTCACACAAAAGATGGTAATAGGTCACACTTGGGAACACATCTCATTATTATTGGTGTATTTTAATGGTAACTAATGATTCATCTCAGTATGGGAGGCCACATTATTCAAGGCTTTACCCTATGGCAGAGTTTAGTCACCAGCTGTTATAAACCTACACTAATAACACTAATAACAACAGGACTAATAACACCAGGACTAATAACACTAATAACACCGGGACTAATAACAGTAATAACACCAGGACTAATAACACCAGGACTAATAACACTAATAACACCAGGACTAATAAGCCGAGATTTTTTTGTTTTTTTAAGGATTTTTCGGCAAAAATCTCCGAGGCTCAGCGTAAATTTCCATGACAATTCGTGTCTCAGGTTCCGAGGTTAAGGGAATTAACATCACTTTATTTACAGGATTTGTTATGTCTGGGATGTTATCGTTGTTTTATATGGGCAGGGTAGTGTTTTAACCTACCCTACTCTACACTACCCTAACCTAACCTAAACTAACCTACCCTACACTAACCTACCCTACTCTACACTACCCTACACTACCCTAACTTAACCCAACCTAACAGGGTCATCTTACTGTACCTTTTGACCGAGGTGATAATCTCGTCTGCGGAACAGGTGGTGTTGACCCCTCAGTCCAGTCTTGGGGCCCAGGGCGGTGTTCTTCTCCCCAGCCATAGAGATCAATTGCCTCTGTCTGAGCTGCCATGTTAACACAACGTTGGTCACCTGAAAAAGAACAATCAGTCAAGTCAGTTTAGGTGGTTTAATATTGTCGTTAGTTAAACCTTCGAGGAGAAATTATCGCGTGTTAACTATGGCACAAGTATACGTGTTTACACAGGGGGGTAGTGTATGTCCGTGTGTGTGTGTGTCTGTGTGTCTGTGTCTGTGTGTCTGTGTGTGTGTGTGTGTGTCCGGAGTCTGTGTGGTCTTCCTGGGATAACCCCAGTGGACTATTACCCGACGTGTTAAGCTGCGGTCACATAAGAGTCTCTACCCAAAATAAATCGACCTCAGAGTTAATTTGTCAACAAACTCCTCAGGTTGTCTCTCCAGCGACTTAGTTACCGTCCAAAGTTGTAACGATAAACCATCTGATACTCTACGGTATGCAGTATTGACCTTTGCTAGAATCTATTGCATTAAGAAACTGACACCATCCTCATATTTTCTTATATTAAAATGTAAAAAAATATATAATAAATGTATTTCTATAACCAAACACCAAAAAAAAATGTTATAATAAATATGACAGGAATTTCATTTGACTCTAGAGTACTCGAGTCACTTTAATAAACAAATGTCGGGTTCGCTACAATCGTTTATTATTCGTCCGAGTCTTTGTTACCAGCACCACACATCTCACTAGAGTGGCTAATGGTGCCATACAAACACACAATGAACCATCCTGCTCTACAGAGGCCCTCACCTGTAACACACTAACTCTACAGAGGCCCTCACCTGTAACACACTAACTCTACAGAGGCCCTCACCTGTAACACACTAACTCTACAGAGGCCCTCACACACACTAACTCTAGAGGCTCTCACCTGCAACACACTAACTCTACAGAGGCCCTCACCTGTAACACACTAACTCTACAGAGGCCCTCACCTGCAACACACTAACTCTACAGAGGCCCTCACCTGTAACACACTAACTCTACAGAGGCCCTCACCTGTAACACACTAACTCTACAGAGGCCCTCACCTGTAACACACTAACTCTACAGAGGCCCTCACCTGTAACACACTAACTCTACAGAGGCCCTCACCTGTAACACACTAACTCTACAGAGGCCCTCACCTGCAACACACTAACTCTACAGAGGCTCTCACCTGCAACACACTAACTCTACAGAGGCCCTCACCTGCAACACACTAACTCTACAGAGGCCTCCTGTAACACACTAACTCTACAGGCCCTCACCTGTAACACACTAACTCTAAGAGGCCCTCACCTGTAACACACTAACTCTACAGAGGCCCTCACCTGTAACACACTAACTCTACAGAGGCCCTCACCTGTAACACACTAACTCTACAGAGGCCCTCACCTGTAACACACTGGCCACCACTGCCAGAACAGCTACTGACCGCCAGGACACAATACTTGTAAGGAACCTGGGGAACATCCCTGTCACCACACACTCTACGGCTGGTGGTCATGCTGGGTCAAGAGTGGTCGTTAGCTCTGTCTACCGGCATCTGGGGGTCACAGAGGGCATTAATTACATCATCGTTACACCATTACCATGATCATTACAACATATCAATAATAACTGGAGGCCAAATAATAATAATTACCAACATATCAATAATTCTAAATAAGTAAAAATAAATTAATTCTAAATTATAATAAATTAAATAATTCTAAATGGTCATCACAATAAACAATAAATTAACAATATCACAGTACATAGTAAATTACTTAACAAAAGAACTAAAATAATAATCTAATCGACTTTAACCACAATTGAAAAAGTTAAATAAAAATAAATATATAAAATAAAATAGTTTTATGATTTTATTTTGTCTATTAAAAGGTAAAATACAGTAAAGTTTTGTGAAATTTTATTATCTTGAGTTTTAAAAATTCATAATCCTTCACCTCCTCCTACCTCATCTGAACACCGAAAACAAGAGTAAGGTCAGTGATTTAGATATTTTTAAGGGTTAGGTTAGGTTTTTAAAGGTTAGGTTAGGTTTTTAAAGGTTAGGGTAAATTTGTACTGCCACCTCTCGCTCTGTTAGAAAGTCACAAATATATTTTTCTTGTGTATTTATTTAGACCGAATATGACCTTCACTTCTGGTGGAAATTGGCTGTTTTTTTTATCCATTTTTATTGGTGAAAAGTTTTCCGAAAAAAAAAATAATGGCTAAGCGAATAAAAAATACACCAAAAAACACTAAAAAAAAACAATAACCTAACCTAACCTGACCTGACCTAACCTGACCTAACCTAACCTAACTCTCACCATATGAAGGAATCACCTATCTCTTACCTTATCGGTCTGGTTCTTGTTCGTCGTCGCATTCTGGGATTCCTACACACCGTCACATATGTTGGTCTTTACGATATCTACATTCAGTCTTGCTCTTAGTACACTTAACTGAGGAACACCATGCGATCAAAAAAAATGATTCAGTTTCTACGTATTTTTTTCTAGAAACTCGTAATCAGCTCCATATATTTTAAGTGACATCCATCGCAGACTACCATGGTCAGAACTAAACTTAAATTTGGAAATGAGACCTAAAAGAATACTCGAATTTGATTGGGCCAAATATACTGCGGATTAAACTCAAAATCATTTTAATTGGTTGCAAAAAAATAAGAAAAACGTTTTGATTGGCCGCGTTAAGTGTACGGGAATGCATGATGATTTATGAAGGAGACAGGTAGTGTGGGAGGTGAGGCAGGCAATAATGGCGGAAGATTAATGGAAGAATATTCTGGAAGACCTATCTCCGTTATTATTCATTTCCGCCGGTAATGTAATAGATGAAAATGATGTTATAATTAGACGTCTTATTAGAATATGATAATAGTTTAGTGGTAGGAATGAACGGTGTGTAAAGAAAATAATACCAAGGTTAGGTAAGGTTTGTTTGGTAATTTTATCAATTAAAATACTTGAAAAATATTAACTTGTCCTGGAAACTTAAATAATAAAATTGATTCCTAACTAAAAAAAATCGGTAAAAATGCAGATTACAGCAACCAAAGAATCGAATAACTTAACCTAACCATTGAAAACCTAACCTAACCTTTAAAAACCTAACCTAACCTTTAAAAACCTAACCTAACCTTTAAAAACCTAACCTACCCTTAAAAAACCTAACCTACCCTTAAAAAACCTAACCTACCCTTTAAAAACCTAACCTAACCTAACTTTCCGTAATTCTGTGGTTATATGAAATAATTACTAGGATAGAAACGACTATTAATCACAATACACAACACCATAACACCACATAACACCATAACGTCATATAACACCACAACACAACTAGTAACACACCATAAGGCACTACAACACACCATAAGGCACTACAACACACCACAAGGCACTACAACACACCATAAGGCACTACAACACACCATAAGGCACTACAACACACCACAAGGCACTACAACACACCACAACACACCATAAGGCACTCAAGCAACACCATAAGGCACTACAACACACCACAACACACCATAAGGCACTACAACACACCACAACACACCATAAGGCACTACAACACACCATAAGGCACTACAACACACCACAACACACCATAAGGCACTACAACACACCACAACACACTATAAGGCACTACAACACACCATAAGGCACTAAGCAACACACCATAAGGCACTTCAAGCAACACACCATATAAGTACCACAACACACCATAAGGCACTACAACACACCATAAGGCACTACAACACACCATAAGCAAGCACTACAACACACCATAGGCACTACAACACACCATAAGGCACTACAACACACCATAAGGCACTCATAACACACTATAAGGCACTACAACACACCATAAGGCACTACAACACACCATAAGGCACTACAACACACCATAAGGCACTACAACACACCATAAGGCACTACAACACACCATAAGGCACTACAACACACTACAACACACCATAAGGCACTACAACACACCATATAACACCACAACACACCATAACACACCACAACACACCATAAGGCACTACAACACACCATATAACACCACAACACACCATAACACACCACAACACCACTCACTGTTATGGCCCGCTGGTCAAGGAGTCTACAGGAGGCAGCAGTGAGTCCCCCTTCCTCTAATGGCCAGTCGACCCTATCACAGAAAACGATTTACTTTATATTTTAAGATTAAACTACGATAGAAAATGACTATACAGCAAAGACTACGATATATAGGCCTAAATATTTCTCTTTTGGTTTATTTATTGTATATTAATTATTATTGTACACAACAGGAGGTCTCTTGCATTTGGCCCCATAGAGGGATGAACCACCCTATAATTAAGCTGAGGTATTTACTAGATAATTATTCCCATATAATTCATGTATTTCTGCTATGGTTAATCTATTATGTCTAATGGCATATTTCTAAAATTCTTAAGTGATCCTTTGGTTTGTACGCATACATATAATTATATAATGGGTAGTCTATTCATGTAAGGATTAATATTGAAGATTAACTTTTATTGTGTTCTTTATAACTTTTACTTACTTTTATCCTCTTCACTGATCGACTCACTAGCAGCTTGGGCGATAGGTCACGTCTTTGTCTCGCACTGTGACCCCTTGTGAGGTGAGCGTCCGCCAGCTCCAGGTAAGGACACTCGTCTCAGTAGTGCCCCCTGAGATGCTTATACACCTCAATTAGGTCCCCCCTTGCCCGTCTGTGGTATAATTTGCAGGCGTTCTAATCTCTCTGGGTAGCTGAGGTGCCGTAGTGCAGGCACCAGTCTGGTGGCCCTCCTTTGAACATTTTCATCCAACTGACAGTCCCTAGCATATCTCGGGGACCAGATGGGGGTGACAGTACTCCAGATGGGGAAGCACTTCACTCTTGAAGATCGTTACGAGGGACGGACCGTCTAGATATCTGAACGACCTACTAGTTTAGTTACTTAGTTCAGCTTCTTACAATGGCCCGAGAACTTCAGTTCATTGTCAACATACACACCTAGGTCCTTCTCACACACAGTCTCAACTAGTGAAGTTTCTTCATCCCGTTGGGACATATGATACGCCTCCTTACCGTTGGTACGCCCCAGGTGCATCCTCTTACACTTCGTGACATTGAATCTTAGCAGCCATTTCTTCGACCATTCCTGGAGCCCACAGAGGTCCTTTTGCAGCTCTTCACAGTAATTAATTACATTAATTTGAAGAACGACCTAATTGAGGTGTATAAGCATCTCAGGGGGCACTACTCAGTTGAGTGTCCTTACCTGGAGCTGGCGGACGCTCACTCCACAAGGGGTCACAGTGCGTGATAGGGACGTGACAGATCGCCCAAGCTGCTAACGAGTCGATCAGTGAAGAGGATAAAAGTAAAGTAAAGTAAAACAACTATCTGTGCAGGTGGGGGTCGATATGCTCCTATGAGATGTTACGTGTGACTAGTGACAGCCCTCATATACCATAATTTATCATCCATGGTCTCATAAATGTTACGTGTGACTAGTGACAGCCCTCATATACCATAATTTATTGTCCATGGTCTCATAAATGTTACGTGTGACCAGTGACAGCCCTCATATACCATAATTTATCATCCATGGTCTCATAAATGTTACGTGTGACTAGTGACAGCCCTCATATACCATAATTTATCATCCATGGTCTCATAAATGTTATGTGTGACTAGTGACAGCCCTCATATACCATAATTTATCATCCATGGTCTCATAAATGTTACGTGTGACTAGTGACAGCCCTCATATACCATAATTTATCATCCATGGTCTCATAAATGTTACGTGTGACTAGTGACAGCCCTCATATACCATAATTTATCATCCATGGTCTCATAAATGTTACGTGTGACTAGTGACAGCCCTCATATACCATAATTTATCATCCATGGTCTCATAAATGTTACGTGTGACTAGTGACAGCCCTCATATACCATAATTTATCATCCATGGTCTCATAAATGTTCCCCACAAAGTATACACAGATAGTTGTTTTAGCTACAGTACATTCAAAATATAAACACGATCATGAGAGTCAGAAGCAACAACAATTAAAGCCTATCATGAACAAGTGCACAACAATTACTGATACACATTCTAAGATACCTAAAATAATAAAAAGGCACTCTTGTATAACTTGCTGAGGACAAACACTACTACATGTAAGCAAAAGCAGAAACCAGCTATACAAAACAAATTGCTTCAGATGAGCTTATACTCTGATTGATGGACATAAGGAGTGGTATGTGTACTGCAGTAACATTAAAATATTGAATATAAATACACTGTTAGGGCGCCGTACTTAGTCAGAAGTAAAAAAATCTGGTCCCAAATAAACGTAAAATGTTTGAATATCTTCCAACAGGCATTTCCCATTATGTGAGAAAGAGATAAAATAAATAATATATATAAATATAAAGTTAAGAGAAATATAATAAACTAACCTGTTATTGGAAGTGATAAAGAATTGATGGTGACCAACGGCTGAGGAATGGTCAGGTGTTAAGTGAAGGTATCTAGTTAAGGTAGAGTCACAGTGTAATGTTGTCTCCTAACTGGTGTTAAGTGAAGGTATCTAGTTAAGGTAGAGTCTCAGGGTAATGTTGTCTCCTAACTGGTGTGTTAAGTGAAGGTATCTAGTTAAGGTAGAGTCTCAGTGTAATGTTGTCTCCTAACTGGTGTGTTAAGTGAAGGTATCTAGTTAAGGTAGAGTCTCAGTGTAATGTTGTCTCCTAACTGGTGTGTTAAGTGAAGGTATCTAGTTAAGGTAGAGTCTCAGTGTAATGTTGTCTCCTAACTGGTGTGTTAAGTGAAGGTATCTAGTTAAGGTAGAGTCTCAGTGTAATGTTGTCTCCTAACTGGTGTTAAGTGAAGGTATCTAGTTAAGGTAGAGTCTCAGTGTAATGTTGTCTCCTAACTGGTGTTAAGTGAAGGTATCTAGTTAAGGTAGAGTCTCAGTGTAATGTTGTCTCCTAACTGGTGTTAAGTGAAGGTATCTAGTTAAGGTAGAGTCTCAGTGTAATGTCGTCTCCTAACTGGTGTTAAGTGAAGGTATCTAGTTAAGGTAGAGTCTCAGTGTAATGTTGTCTCCTAACTGGTGTTAAGTGAAGGTATCTAGTTAAGGTAGAGTCTCAGTGTAATGTTGTCTCCTAACTGGTGTTAAGTGAAGGTATCTAGTTAAGGTAGAGTCTCAGTGTAATGTTGTCTCCTAACTGGTGTTAAGTGAAGGTATCTAGTTAAGGTAAAGTCTCAGTGTAATGTTGTCTCCTAACTGGTGTTAAGTGAAGGTATCTAGTTAAGGTAGAGTCTCAGTGTAATGTTGTCTCCTAACTGGTGTTAAGTGAAGGTATCTAGTTAAGGTAGAGTCTCAGTGTAATGTTGTCTCCTAACTGGTGTTAAGTGAAGGTATCTAGTTAAGGTAGAGTCTCAGTGTAATGTTGTCTCCTAACTGGTGTTAAGTGAAGGTATCTAGTTAAGGTAGAGTCTCAGTGTAATGTTGTCTCCTAACTGGTGTTAAGTGAAGGTATCTAGTTAAGGTAGAGTCTCAGTGTAATGTTGTCTCCTAACTGGTGTTAAGTGAAGGTATCTAGTTAAGGTAGAGTCTCAGTGTAATGTTGTCTCCTAACTGGTGTTAAGTGAAGGTATCTAGTTAAGGTAGAGTCTCAGTGTAATGTTGTCTCCTAACTGGTGTTAAGTGAAGGTATCTAGTTAAGGTAGAGTCTCAGTGTAA